TTTCAATTTTTGAATTACAGATCCCAGAAACCTCGAACAGGTAAGTTTTTTAAGTCCAAAAATCCTCAGGAGTGCCCATGCTGCTGGAGGATTTTTGGACTTATGGTAAAAAAAAACTTACCTGACTTGAGCCTTAAGGAGACACAGGTAACAATTATTATTAATATTACTAGCCATCCTCTGCCATGCGTTGCTGTGGCCCTGTGTGTGTATATATGTTTTGTGTGTGTATATATGTGTGTATATGTGTTTATGCATAAATACACATGTGGTTATGCCAAAGCCCCCAGTGGCGCAGTGGGTTAAACCACTGAGCTGTTAAACTTGCTAACCGAAAAGTCGTAGGTTTGAATCCGGGGAACGGCATGAGCTCCTGCTGTTAGCCCCAGCTTCTGCCAACCTAGCAATTCGAAAACATGCAAATGTGAGTAGATCAATAGGTACCTCTCCAGCTGGAAGGTAACAGTGCTCCATGCATTCATGCTGGCTACATGACTTTGGAGATGTCTACGGACAACACTGGCTCTTGGGCTTAGAAATGGAGATGAGCACTAACACCCCACCCGCACCCCCAAGTCGGATGCATTTAGACTTAATGTCAAGGGGAACAATGTGGTTTTGTGCATGCATTGTAGTGGGGTGGTTTTTTTGGCTTTTTAAGTCTCTTCCGCTGTGTTTTTCAGTGTTTTTATGACTGATGGTCACTTGTGGGCCTGATAGGTGTACTGTGTCCAAATTTGGTGTCAATTCGCCTAGTGGTTTTTGAGTTATGTTAGTCCCACAAACAAACATTACATTTTTATTTATATAGACTAACTGTCCCCTGCCACACGTTGCTGTGGCCCACATGGGGGTTCTGTGTGGGAGGTTTGGCCCAATTCTATCATTGGTGGGGTTCAGAATGCTCTGTGATTGTAGGTGAACTATAAATTCCAGCAACTACAACTCCCAAATGACGAAATCAATTTTTTAGAGTGAAGGACATACATTGGGTTGTTAGGTGTCTTGTGTCCAAATTTGGTGTCAATAAATCCAGTGGTTTTTAAGTTCTGTTAATCCCACAAATGAAAATTACATTTTTATTTATATCGATTATCTATATATATAAGTCTGTAAGGGGTGTCCAACGGGACAGCAAAACTAAAAAAATAACCCAACGAAAATTAACCAAAATTCCCATGCACCTACCACAACCCACAAGGTACAAACAAATCGAATCAAAATAAAAAACAATGCAACAACACACTCACGAAATGACAAAACAACTGAGCATGCGCAATGGCACCCAGCCGCAAGTTCCCTGGCGCGCGCACATGGCCTGCTGGCCAACGCTCCCTCCGCGCAAGCCACGCCCCCATCCTCCGTCACCCCGCCCACGCGATCACCCCACCCCACGGCCCCTCCCTCCCCCTGCCCTCCTCCATCTAACCCCGCCCATGCCGCCTCCAAGCCCAGCCCTGTCAAAACCATGCCTCCTCCCCCCCCTGACTCAATCCTTCCCTCCTCCCACCCCCCTCTGGTAAGACACACCCCCTTACTTTGCCCCCCGGAAGGAAGGAAACAGAGAAGGAAACATGGAAGCAAAGAGTGAAGGAAAGAAGAAAAGAGGTAGAGAAGGAAGAAAAGAGAGAAAGAGGAAATGAAGAGGGATGGAAGAGAAAGAAAGAAAAAGAGGGGGGAAGGAAGGACAGACAAAAGGAAGAATGGAAACAAAAACCACAGGAAGGAAGGAAGGAAGGAGGAAGGAAGGAAGGAAGGAAGGAAGGAGGAAAAGGAGGAAAGGAAGAAAGAAAGGGGAAAGGAAAAAGGAGAGGAAGGAAGGAGATGAAGAAGAAAAAGGAAAGAGGTACCGAAGGAAGAAGAAGATAAAAAAAAAAGGAAAAAAAAATAAAAGAAGGGAGAGGAAGAGGTAGAGAAGGAAGGGAAAAGAAAATAAAAAGTGAAAGAGAGGAAGGAGAAGAAGGGCAAAGGAAGAAAGGGGGAGGGAATGAAGGAAGAGAGAAGGATGAAACCAAGAAAGAAAGAAAGAAAGAAGAGGTAGAGAAGGAAGAAAGGAGAGAAAGGGGAAGAAAAAGGGGGAGGAATAGGTAGGTACCTCTCTTTCATAATAGACCAGATATCTACCTCTACTTTGAAAAGATTTACTATAGGCCACAGCAACGCATGGCAGGGTACAGCTAGTTATTATTATTATTAATGCCAATTTCAATGCATTTTTGTTGTTGTTGCTGTTGCTGTTGTTATTATTTATCATCATCATCCTCACCTTGTCCCAGACCTCTCCTGGTGTGTCAAGGATGGGACCGAAATAGGGGTTCACAGCTGCAATAGACACCAAAATGTCAATCCCTCCATGGCGCTCAAGAGCCTAAAAGCAAAGCAACGACAGCAACATTAGCAATAACTCTTAAAATCTGTTGATATTACAATCTTACGTCTTCACTGATGCAAAGATAATTTTCAGCTCTAGGCATAAGTCCTGGAAGAATGAAACCAGCCTGGTGAAAGATCTTCAGATAATGGTGGCTGGAATGGAGAAAAACGGGTGCTGCCCTAAATGGACTCTAACCTTTCCTGACCCATTATTATTTTACTACCACTGCTCAATGCAATGAGAAACATGGGAGTTCTAGTTTTAACATGTCTTTTGCATTCTCTGCCAAAATAGCACTAGTGCACCAAACTACAAATCCCAGGATTGCCTAGCATTGAGCCACGGCTCTTCAAGGGCTGCTAAAGTGCATGAATCCTACAGTGTAGATGCAGCCCATGCTGCCAAAGATACTCCGTTCTCACCGCCTCAATCAGGCGCTGCCTGTCGTCAGCTTTGTCCACATGGCACACCAAACCTGACACGCTGAGGTTCTCTGATCGCAGCTCAGCCACGGCCCGGTCCACATTGTCTTGTTTCCGGCTGCTCAGAACCACATGAGCACCATCTTGGGCCAGGCAGCGAGCAATTGCAAAGCCAATTCTAGAAAGAAATGGACAACGAAAGAGTGAAATATAGAATATGTGGAATCTGTTGGAGCATGCAAGGAAACTTTTCAAGGAGCTCTCCCAGATCCAAAATGCTTGGAAGCAGAAGTATTTTGGATATTTTTCGACTTTGGGATACTTATATTTGCATATGTAATGAAAATGGGACTCAAGTCGAAAATGGGACTCAAGTCTAAACATTAAATTAATCTATGTTTCATTGGGATGCATCTACACAGTAGAATTAAAGCAGTTTGACACCACTTTAACTGGAACCCCTGGTGGTGCAGTGGGTAGGACTGAAGACCGACAGGTCGGAGATTCGAATCTGGGGAGAGTGCAGTCGAACCCCCTCTGTCAGTTCCAACTCCGCATGCGGTGACATGAGAGAAGCCTCCCACAAGGATGGTAAAACATTAAAAACATCATTGCATCCCCTGGGCAACATCCTTGCAGACGGCCAGTTCTCTCACACCAGAAGTGACTTGCAGTTTCTCAAGTTGCTCCTGACATGGAAAAAAAACAAACACTTTAACTGCCATGATTCTATGCTATGTAATCCTTGGATTTGTAGTTTGGTGGGGCCCCAGCACTCTTTGGCAGAGAGACCTAAGGACTTTGACAAACTACAATTTCCAGGATTCCATAGCACTGATCCATGGCAGTTTAAAGTGGTGTACAACTGTGTTAATTCCACAGTGTAGAAGCATCCATAGATATCCCCCCTTGCTATCTTTGGGGTTTTTTCAAACGAATCCCAAGATAAGATGTGCATAAAATACTATGAGAATTAACTAGGCTTGGAAAAAAAAACCCTTGATAAATCTGCTTACCCATCAAAACACAAAGCAGAGTCGGATCAAAATTGGGAAGAATACGTTAAGGTTTTTAATCTGATACTTTGGAGGCTTCCCCACTCAAATCCGAACTCCGAAAGCCTGAAGCCTTTAGTGAGAAGCACAAGAGGCTCTAATTTAGGAACAAAAAGACACCTCTTGCGACAAGCTCCAAAAATCAAAAGCCGAGATTATCTGGCGGGTTTAATTTGAACTAGAGATTAGCCCCAAGGCCTCTGTTTTATGCCTCTCCCCGAGCCAACGCTCTGCTTTTTTCATCCTGCGAAAGCCATAGAAAGTGCATCTTCACTATAAAACTAATGCAGTGTGATACCGCTTTAACAGCGATGGCGCTATGCTATGGAATCCTGGGCATTTTACAATGTCTTGAGTCTTCTCTTCCAGGTACTGCGTTATAATACAGATAATGAATATGGTATTTAGCTGTGGCAGTTTAAGTGGTGTCAAACTGCATTCCTAACCGAGTGTTAGGAATTGTGGGAGTTGAAGTCCAAAACACCTGGAGGGAGTGAGGTCGAACATGACTGCCCCCCCCCAAATAAAATATAGTAACTTATAGTTTTGCTAAGGACAAGGATATCAGACTGGATAATAAGGCTTAAGTCTTTGTCAATTTGTCAAGACACTAGCAACAACAACAACAACAACAACAACAACAACAACAAGGACCCTTCCCATGTCAGATAGCGTGTATATTTAATCAACTGAAACTGCAAACTAGATTACTCTATTGTCTCCATATCCCGGCTCAAGAAAAATCCGAATTCTGGCCATCTCCCCAGACCTCAATGTTGATTACCACCCCTCATCACAATAAGCCGGTCAGTTGGAAGGCCTCTGATGACTCGCCGGCCACATGGACATCACATATTTCCATAATCCCCTCAAGTTCTCATTGTTTCCCTCTCATCCCACCTCCCTCTCTCCTGATTGGCTAGGAGGCCGAAGCGGCGTGAGCTCACCCATTGGCTAAGGCGCTCAGGAGGCGGCCAGGCCTCCTCCCAAGCTGGCTGAGGGGCGGGGAGCGGGAAATTCAAATCTGACAACTCTGTATATGTATGAAAAGGCTTTATTTTATATTCAATACATGTCTGCTTGACGAATGATCGCGGTATGACATCCTTTCCAGCTGGATCGCAATAAACAACTCGGTGGCTTTTCTTCAACTTGGTGAGACCTTTGATTGGGAAAAATCAAGGAAAAATATTGGGTGCTTCTTTCTGTCTCGCCAGGGCCACAAACTCTTTGATGAGTCGGATTGGTCTCTGCCCCCTGGCAAAGACCCCTAAATTCTTGCCCGATATCAGGAGGACCAAAGTTTGCCCATGCTTGGTGCAGATACACCCAAGGAAGAAAAGAGTGCCCCTGATGACGTGGAAGGTGCTTGAGTCTTCTCCGCTGTTGCCTCACTATGCTACAAATCCCAATATTCCATAGCATTGAGCCATGGCAGCTAAAGTGGGTTCAAATGGCACTATATTGACAGTGTAGATACACCTGGAACCAAAGGTGGTGCAGTGGTTACGCCATTGAGCTGCTGAACTTACTTACCAAAAGGTCACAGGATCAAACCTAGCTTCTGCCAACCTAGCAGTTTGAAAACATGCAAATGTGAGTATTTCAATAGGTACCGCTCTGGTGGGAAGGTAACAGTGCTCCTTGCAGTCATGCCGGCAACATGACCTTGGAGGTGTCTACAGACAACGTCGGCTCTTCAGCTTAGAGTGGGTTCAAACCGCACTATATTGACAGCGTAGATTCACGCAGAGCCAATGGTGGTGCAGTGGGTTAAGCCACTGAGCTGCTGAACTTACTTACCAAAAGGTCACAGGTTCGACCCGGCTTCTACCAACCTAGCAGTTCGAAAACATGTAAATGTGAATAGATCAATAGGTACCGCTCCAGTGGGAAGGTAACAGCGCTCCGTGCAGTCATGCCGGCCACATGACCTTGGAGGTGTCTACGGACAATGTCGGCTCTTCAGCTTAGAAATTGAGATGAGCACCAACCCTAGACATGACTAGACTTAATGTCAGGGGGAAACCTTTACTAGATGCACCCAGGAAAGTCAAGAGTGCCTCTGGGGGACTGCAGAGTTTTAACTATAAGACAATCGTAAAAGGGACTCACCCTTTGGTGGAGGTGGTGACCAAGGCTACCTTATTGGCAAGGCGGCTTTTGGAGTAGGTGGCATTCATCCTGATGAAGTGGCGCATGGCTTGCCTGGTCGGAGAGATGGCAGCAAAGGAAGAGAAGTGCGAGGAAATGTCACCTCTGGTTCTGTCCTCTTTTTTGAGCACTGCTCTGCAGGACAATGAGCAATTGCAATTGACCCAGGAATGATTAAAACCCAGGCCTTGCATCATCATTTCCCCATTTACAGCACGGTGCCCTCTGCTTCTCCTTTGCTGAACTGCCAGGGGCATCTACACTGTGGAATGAATGCACTTTGACCCTGCATTCAATCATTTCTATGGAATCTTTGGGAGTTGTCGTTTGGTGAGGACCCAGCATTCTTCGGCTCATGGTTGTTACAAGGTCTTTAGCTTTCTCGGTTGGTGCCTCCCCAAACTCCAACTCCCAAGATTCTGCAGCATTGAGCCATGGCAGTTCTATAGCTATCTTCTATCAAAATACTAGCTTGGGTACCCAGCGATGCTCGGGTGACTTGAGAAAGGCAGTGTTTTTTGAGAGGTTTGGTAATATATCTCGATGCACGGTGAACTACAACTCTGCATGGGTGGGTCACACACCCCCCCCCCAAACCCCTCCAGTATATTATATTGGCCCGGGTTATGTGAAAAAGGCAGTTTGTTTTGGGGTGTTAGGTAATATCAGTCTGGTAATCTGTAGCTCTATTTCTTGGGGGGAAAGCCAGTCTTTCCTGGGTTATTTTAATGAATGCTCCCATTAGAAAAATGCATAAGGATGTGGGTGAACTGCATTTTCCAAAATTATACACCAATCATCCCAAACCCTACCAGTATTCAAAGATGGCCATGTTGGGTCTGTGTGCCAGGTTTGGTCCTCATTGGACGTCGGTTGCGTTCAGTGCTCTCTGGATAAGGGTGAGCTACACCTCCCAGATCAGAGGTCATTAACCCCCAGACCCCGCCCATATGCACAGGTAGCATTCTGGTCATTCCTGGTCAGTCGCAAGGCTGAACAGGGTATAGGGTTACAGCCTGTGCTGGATGGGGTTACACTCCCCCTGAAGACAAAGGTTCGCAGCTTGGGAGTGATCTTGGACTCATCGTTGAGACTGGAACCTCAGGTCTCAGCAGTGACCAGGGGAGCATTTGCACAGTTAAAACTTGTGCGCCAGCTGCACCCGTACCTTGGGAAGTCTGACTTGGCCACGGTAGTCCACGCTCTGGTTACATCCCATATAGACTACTGCAACGCTCTCTATATGGGGTTGCCTTTGAAGACTGTCTGGAAGCTTCAAACGCTCAGCAGCCAGGTCATTAACAGGAGCGGCACTCAAGGAGCATACAACTCCTCTGTTGTGCCAGCTCCACTGGCTGCCAGTTTGCTACCGGGCACAATTCAAAGTGCTGGCTTTAGCCTATAAAGCCCTAAACGGTTCTGGCCCAACTTACCTGTCCGAACGTATCTCCTCCTATGAACCAGCTAGGACGTTAAGATCATCTGGGGAGCCCCTACTCTCGGTCCTGCCTGCATCACAGGTATGTCTGGCGGGGGCGAGAGACAGGGCCTTCTCAGTGGTGGCCCCTCGGCTGTGGAACGCCCTTCCTACAGTAATTAGATCGGCCTCCTCCCAATTGGCATTTCGGAGGAAATTGAAGACCTGGTTGTTCAAGCAAGAATCAGAAAAACGTGCCAAGAGGAAGGTGCGTTAAAGTCAACCCTGATTGGGACCGCCTTCCACCTGGAAACGGAAGTCCTCACTGTAGAACATGTGCATCAAGAATAGGGCTCCACAGTCACCTATGGACCCACCACTGAGATATCTTTGGGCTACGAGGGATCACCTAAGTATGTACTCCTGAACCCATTGATCATGAAAGTGGGGTTCCCTTTCCTCCTTCCCAGACCCTCAAAGAGAGAGAGAGAGACATGTAAGATTAATTCAAAGAGACAGCTTTATTTGGTTTAGGAGAAAAGAAGTGAAAGGCACAGAGACATGACACAGATTTTTTTTCCTACTCATTGGAGTACTACAGATCATCCATACTCCCCAAAAGCCTTCAGAAGCCCAACACTTTTGTGATCCCATAAACACATACCTTCCTTGATTCTGGTCTTCTCTAGCCAAGTAATATTTCCAACTACCCTTAATGGCATTGATAAACATCTGGATGCTTTACGTGGGTAAGGGGAGAGGTAAGAGGCCCCTATGTGATGCAAGGCTCTTTCTACAGCCCTCTGCCAACCCATCCTGACCCTTCTGAGAGAAAACTGGACCCTATGCAGGGCCCACCCCATTTTTGATCATCCTTATTCCAAAAGGCGCATCACCTAAGCAGTGTTTCTCAACCTTCCTAATGCTGCGATACTTCATGTAGTGGTGACCCCCAACCATAACATTATTTTAATTGCTGGTAAACTGGCTGGGATTTCTGGGAGTTGTAGGCCAAACACCTGGGGACCAACAGGTTGAGAACCACTGACCTAGAGCCTTTTAAAGGAGATATAGACCAGGCATTCTCAAACTGTGGTCCTCCAGCTGTTTGGGACTCCAACTCCCAGAACCCTAATGAGCTTGTTCAATTGTCAGGAATTCTGGGAGTTGAAGGCCCAAACAGTTTGAGGGTGCCTGGTATAGACATTCTCTTTTAGGTGTAAAGTGATCTTGCAGCTTACAGCTTTCATCATCATCTTTGGTCTCTCCAAAATGAGATCCTGGATTTTTCTCATTCATAGTTTTTGGCAGCTTCAAGGACAAGACAGCCTTCATACTCATAAGCATCTCCTCAAACCTAGATACAGTTTTGTTAGCCAACATGACGCCGCTCCCCCATATTATATATTCCTGAAATGCCAGGAGGGCTCAATGAAAGCATGTGCCATGTCCACAGGAGGACCAAAATTCCCATCAGAGACGGGACGGTGCACCTCCGGCCACCACTATCGTCTCTCCTGTAATATAGTCAGCATCTGGCGAACAAAGGAAGGAAACGATGCCGGAACAGTCGGATGGTTGTCCAACTCTGAGAGGGGGGAAAAGAAAAGAAAAAAAGGTTCTCCAAGAGTTTATAGAGCAGTGTTTCTTAACCTTCCTAATGCCGCGATCCCTTAATGCAGTTCCTCATGTTGTGGTGTCATTTTGCTACTGTTATGAATAGCAATGTAAATATCTGATATGCAGGATATATTTTCATTCACTGAACCAGATTTGGCACAAATACCCGATACACCCAAATTTGAATACTAGTGGGATTTGGGGAGGGGGGTTGATTTTGTTATTTGAGAGTTGTAGTTGCTGGGATTTTTAGTTAACCTACAATCAAAGAGCACTCAGAACTCCACCAATGATAGAATTGAACTAAACTTGGCACACAGAACTCCCATGACCAACAGAAAATACTGGAAGGATTTGGTAGGCATTGACCTTGAGTTTAGGAGTTGTAGTTTACCTACATCCAGAGAGCACTGTAGACTCCAACAATGATAGATCTAGATCAAACGTGGCACGAATACTTAATATGCCCAAATATGAACACTGGTGGAGTTTGGGGGAAATAGACCTTAACATTTGGGCATTGTAGTTGCTGGGATTTATAGTTGACCTACAATCAAAAAGCATTCTGAACCCCACCAACAATAGAATTGGGCCAAAGTTCCCACACAGAACTCTCATGCTTTGAAGGGACTCACTGGCATGAGCTCCTTCCAGCCTCGCATGCTCTCCCTTGCCTGCACATGTGCACCATGCTACCATGCACCAAGTATGCCTGGAGTCTCAGAAATAGCCTTCTCCCTAAGGATTTTCTAGGTCTTCCAATATGATTCTGAAGTACGCTTCCATCAAAAATCGTTCATTTCGTAGTTTTATGTTCTCACTGCAAGTCCCATGTTGTATCCCCCACAGATACGGAATTCGGCACTGTACAGATTTAGATAAACACCCAAAGCTTATACAGATCAAGAGTAGGGTCCCTCAATCTCAGCACTGTTACTTCCAAGGGTCTTGTGCTTCAACTGGAGATACCAGTGCTAGCAAAACATGGGTCCTATTCATCAATGGGCCACGGTCCCTTCGAGCTTCCCTCTACTAAAACATCACAGAAGAAATCCCATGGAAGCCACACTTGGACAACTAGGTGGCATGGAGACAAGGTTACCTTTGGATCCCCATGGACTCCATTATTTTTTCCAGCGTGGCTTTATCTTTCCTTAACTGAAACGAGAAGATGCTTGTCAGTTTGTTTGCTCTCCTTATCAATACAATAATTACCACCCCTATTGCAACGAACCCCTAAGGGTGCCTCTACATTGTAGACTGAAACGAGAACATGCTTGTCAGTCTGTTGCTCTTCTTATCAATACAAGAATTACCACCCCTATTGCAAGGAACCCCTAAGGGTGCATCTACATTGTAGACAATACAGTTTCAAAGCACGTTAACTGCCAAGGTTCGATGTTATAGAATCATGAGAATTGTAGTGGGTTGCTGTGAGTTTTCGGAGCTGTATAGCCATGTTCCAGAAAGCATTCTCTCCTGATGTTTCACCCACATCTATGGCAGGCATCCTCAGAGGTTGAAGGACCTGTTGGAAACTAAGTAAGTGAGGTTTATATATCTGTGGAATGTCCAGGGTGGGGGAAAGAATTCTTGTCTGTTGTAGGTAGGTGTGAATGTTGCAATTTGCCAACTTGATTAGAATTTAAAGGCCTGCATTTTCAAGGCCTGGACAATACCTCCCAACAAAGGATTTCCCTCGGCAGCTACCAACCAGGCCTTGAAAGCTACTGACGCCAAGCTGAATCGCTAATAAAACACCTCGGTCGCTGAAACTTCTTCCTCTTTGGTGAGGATTTATTATTTTTAATATTTTTATCGCTGAAATTGGCTTCGCTGGCCTCACCAAGGTTCCAGGAGTGTCTTTGGTGCGGTCCTCAGGGATCTCCTCGGCTGGGGAGACCCTCCTAAAAGCAGCTCGATATCATTACTAAGTTTCCAACAGACCCCCTCAACAGCTGCTGATGCCTGCCATAGATGTGGGTGAAACGTCAGGAGAGAATGCTTCTGGAACATGGCCATACAGCTCGGAAAACTCACAGCAACCCACTACAATTCCCATGATTCTATAACACTGAGCCTTGGCAATTAATGAGCTTTGAAATTACATTAACTCACAGCAACCCAGCGATTCCAGCCATGAAAGCCTTCGACAACACATGGGAGTTGTAGTTTGATGAGGAATGTGCACTCTTAGTCAGAGATGACCTTGTGGAGCTACAACTCCCATGGTTCCAACGCATGAGAGCTATGAGAGTTAAAGTGGTGTCAAACTCCATTAACTGTACAGTATAGATACAACCACAGAAGTTCCTCCATTTAATGGTCTCCATGGAAGGCCGACATTTCATAACAACAAGCCGTTAACTCTTTGCCTCTTTCCTCCAACTTGTGGAACTCACCACTGTGCTGAACTTGGTTTCGATCAAGCCGGGCGCCAGGCAGTTGATGCGTATTTTTCGGGAGCTCAATTCGGGGACAAAGTTGCACATGAGGCTCAGAAGAGCAGTCTTGCTGACCATGTAGGCACCCGACAACTACAAAAGAGTGAAGACTGTTGGCTCTAACATTTCCCCAACTTGAGTTCCTGTAGTCTACATCACCCATCCTTGAAGGCCCCAGCCTTCAAGCCACCTTGAATGGGCCCTTTTTCTGGATATAGCTGAACAAACTATTACAATACTGATAATTCTACTCCCCAGCCAACTACACCACCGGTCCAAAAAGTAAGTGTGCATGCAGTCCCCCAAGACAAAAGACCACCAATAAACCAATCCTCCCAAAAATTCACCCAGCATCCTTTTAAAGCTATTGAAGTCGAACATGACGCCCCCACCCCCTGAAATAGTAACTTATAGTTTTGCTAAGGGCAAGGACGCCAGGCTGGATAATAAGGGTTAAGCCTTGGTCAGTTTGGTGTGTATCATTTAATCAAGGCTTTATGTTCTATTTTCATATGTTTACAGCAGAAAGTAACTAATTTATTACTGAAAATAATGCCACAAAGGTATTTGAATTTTCCCATCTGAGGCACACCTGGGCTCCAGATGGTCCCCCATCTCACAAACAAGGGACACTCTTTCCCCCTGCACGGACAAACCTTATGAAATCTTGCCTTTCATGAACTTTAGATATATGAAATATGTTTCCTGATTTCTTTGTGGCAGAAGCCTCTCCCCACCTTCCTGACCTTTGTTCCCCATTTATACCAGGAGAAATCCCACCAAAGGAACTACAGAGCCCCAAACATTCCAGGAACTTTTTAATCCACAGCTTCCTTTTGCATAAACAATAGTTTGGACAGCTGATGGCCCTCGGAGGATTTGTCCAGCCCTCAGTTTGCCCCTTTGGCAAAGATCTTAATCATATTTCTGTCTGGAGGACAAAAGGTTCCCGAAAAACCGTTTGCCTTCGCTCTGATTAACTCAACTATCTCCCCACCAAGAAACAATCACACCAGTCTTGCCTTCATTGTCCTCATGTCTGCTGGCTAGTAAAATCCGGACTTTCCTTTACACATGTTGATTCATTCCAATCAAAACACAATAGATCAGCCCTGCTTGAGACTTCCTTTTTTGTCTCGCAGGCCACATGGCATTTTTTTCAGAACTCATTCACAGATTCCTTTGTGTTCTATCAACCCGCCTCCCTCTCTCCTGATTTGCTGTCGCCGCTAGGCAGCAGGAGCCTCCCCATTGGATCCTACGGACTGCTGGAGCTTCCTGATTGGTCCGGAGGCGCCGGGGGCGGGAGGGCTGCCTCCCAGCTGTTTGCCCATCGTCTAATCACGGTGGAGGGCAGCAGGGAGGCCGGGGCGGGAAGTTTGAACTCTGCAACTTTGAATTTTCTATAAATATGGCTGTATTGATGTATTTTCTTATGCTCTGTTGGCGAATGATTGCGGCTCTGCATCCTTTCAGCTGATTGCCAATAAAAGCCTTGGTGGCCGTTTTCTTCAACTTTGGTGAGATTCTTATTGGGAATTTAGGGAATTAAAATTTGATTTTAATTGCTTTTCTGAGCTCGCCAAAGTAGCGATCCCTCTTTGGTGGGACCGCAGGGTCTTCCCTACTTTGCTGACCCTTTTCCAAGGTTTTCCTCTATTTCAATATCTCAACTAATGACCATGTTACCAATGCACCTTGTGGCAATAAATAGAAGAAAAAATAACTTATCATTGGGTGAAGGACGATTTAGTCTCTTATGCAGTTTTACTAAACAAGGCACATATCATCTTTGCTTTCTGAAGGATCCATGTACCCAACCTTTGTTTTATGCACAAATTGATCAGATGCATTTTGTATTAAATTACTTTCAGGCTATGTATGTTGTTGGAGCATGCAAGGAAGTTAATGTGTGTGTGTCAACTGTAAAAAAAGATACATAAAGCTGATTGGTCGGGCAATGCTCGGAGAGATGGCTGAGCCTGGGACTTTTGGATACTGGTACAATTTTGTTCAGGCTTGAGATATGCAGGTGTTCAGAGAGAAGCAGAGAGAGAGAGGGTTTGGAGTGTGCTCTTGCTTCATGAGCTGCTGAAGGAGTTTATCCAAATGGACAAACAAATTTATTTATTATTTATTTACATAATTTCTATCCCGCCCATATCAGCCTGGAGGCGACTCAGGGCGGTATACACAGTCGGCACAATTCGATGCCATAAAAATACATACATTAGTAAAGCAAAAACATTAAAGTGCATTTAAACATAAAGACAGTGCATAATAACAATTTAAAAAGAGCTATGTCCTCTCGTTCAATCCTCATCCAAACAAAGGGCACTAAACCTCTCATAAAAAAAACCTCTCATAAAAACCTCTCAAAGGCCACTCAACCTCTCATTCAATCCAAATAAAGGCCATAAAAAGACAAAATCTGAGCTGATACAACTGATCACATTGTACATATGTTGTTCTGAATTAAGAAGAGTAAACTACTTGTTCTTTGCTGCTCACCTGCGTGGCATATTTTCTTTCTCTTGCAAGGCTGATTAAATGTGAACTACACATGGTTTATTTTACATTATGCCACATATGTATGGTATATATGAAACACAAATGAGGTCACATCTATACTGCCATATAAAATTCAGGATTTTCTGTTTTGAACTGGATTATATGGCAGTGTAGAGCCAGCCTGATTTTCATGCTTAGACCAGATGGTGAAGTTCCCCAAAATGAGAGACATAGGATCACTAGAGGAGGAAAGAAGCAACCGACTCACCGAAAGAGGGGAATAGGCTCCAATGGAGGAGACCAGAACAATAGCACCACCACTGTAAGGAAAGGAAGGGGGAAAAGGAGAGAATTTAGTTGGATTGCACTGCTTGTTTCTTTCCTTCTTTTTCTTTCTTCGTTTCTTTCTTTTCCCCCTTTTTCTCTATTCAATCCATATCCCTGTCAACATTATTACAGGTTATGACAAACAGGCCTTTGTTTGTCCATGTGAATAAACTCCTTCAGCAGCTCATGAAGCAATAGCACACTCCAAACCTTCTCTCTCTGCTTCTCTCTGAACACGTGTATAACTCAAGCCTGAACAAAATTGTAACAGTATCCAAAATTCCCAGGCTCAGCCATCTCTCAGAGCATTGCCCAACCAATCAGCTTTATGTGTCTTATTTTACAGTTGACACACACATATTAACTAATTCCTTGCATGCTGAAACATGGCTTTCTAATGAGCTTTTTGGCATCTGGCTCATGGTGATGCTGAGGATGTTTATTTATACCCCAAAGCAGTTATGCTGATGTCTAGACATATGCAGTTATGCATATGCAGTTATGCTGATGTCTAGACATATGCTTTTAACTAAATGTGCTTTTTATTGAAATTCTCACTAATAATAATAATAATAATAATAATAATACTTTATTTATATACCACTTACAGGCTGTGTATGTTGTTGGAGCATTCAAGGAATCAATTAATGTGGGTGTGTCAACTGTAAAATAAGATACATAAAGCTGATTGGTTGGGCAATTCTTGGAAAGATGGCTGAGCCTGGGACTTTTGGATACTGTTACAATTTTGTTCAGGCTTGAGCTATGCAGTAGGCTTGGGCGGTTTCGTTCGTTAATTTCGTAATTCGTTATTAATTTGTATTTAAATTAGCTTACGATCCAATATTGAGCCATGCAGGAATTGTGTGAGGAGTAATAAAGATTCGAAACAATTTTTTCAATTTATTTCGTAATTATTTCGTAATTATTTCGTAATTATTTTCGCATGTCTGGTGCAAGTTTTATAGTTGTTGTTTGTTTTATCACACCAACAGTCAACAACAGAGGGAGAGGGAAGCTTCAGAAGTTCCTCCTGTCTCATTTGGAGGTTTTTTTAGCATATTGCGCAATCTCGTCCGCCATTAACGAATCAATTCGTAATTTTACGAAATTTCGTAAATTTCAAAAAAATTTAAAGGAAAATTTCGGAATTATTAAAAAAAACGAAACGCAAGGGCCCCCTAAAAACAAAACGAGTTTAGAACCAAATTTTTCCGTGGTTACCCAAGTCTACAGTATGCAGGTGTTCAGAGAGAAGCAGCTCCACTGGCTGCCAATTAGCTTCCGAGCACAATTCAAAGTGTTAGTGCTGACCTATAAATCCCTAAACGACTCTGGCCCAGTTTACCTGTCTGAACGGATTCTCCCCTATGAACCATCAAGGTTGTTAAGATCTTCTGGAGGGCCCTTGCTCTCGGTCCCACCACCCTCACAATCGCGTTTGGTGGGGATGAGGGACAAGGCTTTTTCTGTGGTGGCCCCTTGGCTCTGGAACTCTCTCCCGCTGGAGATTAGATCTGCCCCTTCCCTCCTGACTTTCAGAAAGCTGGTAAAATCTTGGCTTTGGAATATAGCATTTGCAGAATGATGATCGAGTCTATAACTGCTGACCACACCGGCGGATGGTGATGAATTTGTGATTTTACTTTGACGACCTGGCTTTTTGTAATTGTATGATCTGTATTTTAATGTGTTTTATGTATTAATGTATTACGATGCTATTATGTTTATCCTACTTGTGTATGAATTTCCTGCTGTTAGCCGGCCTGAGTCCCTTTTCGAAGGTCGAGAAGATCGGGTTATAAAAGCTCTAAATAAATAAATAAAATAATAAATAATAAATGATATATACTGTCTGTTTCTCTGAATGGACACATAATGGCTGACAGCAAAAGTTAGTCTGGTAACAAACATTTGTCAATAGTGGGAGGGAAAGATGGGTGTTGGAAAAGTCATCTGCTTAGTAGGGCTGGGTGGTTTCGTTCGTTAATTTCGTAATTCGTTATTAATTCGTATTTAAATTAGCTTACGATCCGATATTGAGCCATGCAGGAGTAATTAAAAAATGAAACAATTTTTTCAATTTATTTCGTAATTGTTTCATAATTGTTTCGTAATTGTTTCGATATTGTTTCGAAATTGTTGCCATATGTATTTCCATATATTGCGTCCGCCATTAACGAATCGATTCGAAATTAACGAAATTTCGTAAACAACGAAATTTTGAAATCTCAAAATTTCGGAAGTATTTAGAATTTGGAAACGCTAGCGCCCCCTGGAAACGAATCGAGTTTAGAAACAAATTTTTCCGTGGTTACCCAGCCCTACTGCTTAGAGATGATGAAGAAAAAAGAGACTGAAGAGAAAAAAGTCAGGAAAGAAGGAAGGTATGCAAGAAGAACTTCATTGCTCTCCAGCAAAGAACAGAGCAAAAGCTGGATCTGGAACTATTTCAGCAAATCTGCCAAAATACCAACAAAAATACTCATCTTGTGCACTCACCCTCTTTTCTCCATATGAGGCACCACCGATTGAACCAGCATGGCAGCAGCTTTGATGTTGACATCCAGAATCTGCAAGTAAAGAGAAGACCTGCTTCAAAAACAGGTGACTTGCAGCTCCTTCACTCATTGGGCACTGCTATATTGGAGAATTATTGTAGCTTGACGCTACTTTAATTGCTGTAGCTCAAGCTATGGAATCCTGAAACCTGTAGTTTTATAAGGTCCTTAGCCTTCTCTGTCAAAGAGTGTTGATGCCAAACCAAACTACAACTCCCAAGATTCCATGATTGAACCATGGCAATTCAAGTAGGGTCCAGCTGCATTAATTCCACAGTATAGAGGCAAACTCTTGTCATTTTTGCTGTAAAAGGTTTTTCCTTTGGAAATGATTAAGTAGTACCAGGAAACAAACACCTCCAAATAGTCTTCTCTGTTTGAAACATGGAGACCTATTGGCATTCAGAGGCTATAACAATAGCCTAGGGAAAGTTTCATTTTTTGGATTACTGATCCCAGAAAGCTCCAATAGTGTGCCCATGCTGCTGGAGGACTTTTGCACTTACGATAGAAAAAAATTCCTGACTTGAGCCTTAAGAAAACACAGGGAATAATAATAATAATAATAATAATAATAATAATAATAATAATAATTTTATTATTATTACTATCATACACCAGAGCAGACCATCCAAATACCTGGGAGTCACTCTGGACTATGCTCTGACCTACAAGAAGCACTGCCTGAACATCAAGCAAAAAGTGGGTGCTAGAAACAATATCATACGAAAGCTGACTGGCACAACCTGGGAATCACAACCAGACACAGTGATGACATCTGCCCTTGCGCTATGCTACTCTGTTGCTGAGTATGCATGTCCGGTGTGGAACACATCTCACCACGCTAAAACAGTGGATGTGGCTCTTAATGAGACATGCTGCATTATCACAGGGTGTCTGCGCACTACACCACTGGAGAAATTACACTTTCTAGCCGGTATCGCACCACCTGACATCCACCGGGAAGTAGCAACCAATAGTGAAAGGACCAAGGCAGAGACATCTCCAGCTCATCCCTTGTTTGGGTATCAGCCAGCACGTCAATGACTTAAATCAAGAAATAGTTTTCTAAGATCTACAGAGACACTCGCTGGAACACACCAGCAAGCGAGAGTCCGAAAGTGGCAGGCTCAAACCCAGAACCTCAATCAATGGCTGATACCAAATGAGAGACTCCCCCTGGGCAGACAGAGGACTGGGCGACTTGGAAGGCACTGAACAGACTGCGCTCTGCACGAGATGCAGAGCCAACCTCAAGAAATGGGGCTACAAAGTGGAATCCACGACGTGCGAGTGTGGAGAAGAGCAAACTACAGACCACATACTACAATGCAACCTGAGCCCTGCCACATGCACAATGGAGGACCTCCTCGCGGCAACACCAGAGGCACTCCAAGCGGCCATCTACTGGTCAAAGGACATTTAATCAACTACCAAGCTTGTAGACTCTGTGTCTTTTGTATGTTTGTTTGTTTGTTTGTTTGTTTTTGTTAAAAATGTAATACAAATGTCTGGTTGCTGATGACACGATAAATATAACCAGAGCAGGAACACCTCTGACCTTAAACATCATAGTAGCTTGGTAAAATCAGCAAACAGTTTATTGTAGAATATATGTAAGCAAAGTGATAAAAAATAGCAAAATGGAAAAGGTCCAAAATCCAAAATAGTCCATAAGCTTTAAAGGGAAACAAGATCCATGAGTACATAGAAGTCCATGAAACAAGACAGCAGGAAAATCCTATAAGCAAAACTTAGGCTTATCAAAAACTTGATACATGAAACTCAGAGCACTTGAAAGCAAGACTGTGATAAAATTACAATGTTGACTCGACTGAGGTGATTCTCTCCCATGAATCTCACTTTTTCCAGATCCCAAGACTGAAAGGAAAGCATTTTTCATGACTTTCGCACTAGATAACAGTTTGTTATCTTTCTTCTGCTGTAGACCGACGGATCACCTCAGTCTCTGAAAGCTCTGCCTCTGTTCACTAAAACTTCACTTTCTGACCAAGGTTTCACTCCTCTCTCCCTCATTAATTCCTGCACCTGGCAAATGAATCTCACTATTGTTTTCAGACAGTTGCTCTGAGGAAAGCGGTGAAAGGCCTTTCCCAGGAATGTGGCCTTATGAATCTTCCAGAGACAGATCAGGCCTCTCTTCTGAACTTAGCTCAGGACTTAACTCAGGCCCAAGCTAACCCTCATCCCCAGGCTCATCATCAGGAACATTATCGCCCATTGTCATCATGAACATCAACATGAACCTCATTCCCATCATGAACATCAACATGAACATCAGACACAATCACAAACTGAATAGGCTGACATGCAACAATTATCAACTTCAATGTATTATTGTTGCTGCTGTTGTTATATTAATGTATCATCATCATCATCATCATCATCATCATCATCATCATCATCACCTTGTCCCAGACCTCTCCTGGTGTGTCAAGGATGGGACCAGAATAGGGGTTCACGGCTGCATTAGACACCAAAATGTCAATCCCTCCATGGCGCTCAAGAGCCTAAAAGCAATGACAGCAACATTAGCAATAACTCTTAAAATCTTTTGATATTACAATCTTAAGTCTTCACTGATGTAAAGATAATTTTCAGCTCTAGGCATAAGCCCTGGCAGAAGGAAACAAACCAGCCTGGTGAAAGATTTTCAGATAATGTTGGCTGGAATGGAGAAAAACAGGTGATGCCCTAACCTTTCCTGACCCAGTATGAATTTTACTACCATGGCTCAATGCAATGAGAAACCTGGGAGTTGGAGTTTTAACAGGTCTTTTGCATTCTCTGCCAAAAGAGCGCTAGTGCACCAAACTATAACTCCCAGGATTGCCTAGCATTGAGCCATGGCAGTTCAAGTGGTGCCAAAGTGCATGAATCGTACAGTGCAGATGCAGCTCATGGTGCCAAAGACACTCCATTCTCACCGTCTCGATTAGGCGCTGCCTGTCTTCGGCTTTGCCCACATGGCACACCAACCCCGACACGCCGAGGTTCTCCATTTGCAGCTCAGCCACGGCCCGGTCCACGTTGGCTTGTTTCCGGCTGCTCAGAACCACACGAGCACCATCTTGGGCCAGGCGGCGAGCAATTGCAAAGCCAATTCTAGAAAGACATTAGCAAGGAAAGAAAGGACCAGCATGAAATGTTAAACACGGATATATCCACGTAGGCAGGCAGAAAGATGGTTATGTGAAAAGACCAATCCATCAAGTTTGACACCACTTTAACTGCCATGACGGTATGCTAAGTAACCCTATGATTTGTAGTTTGTTGGGGCCTTGGCACTCTTTGGCAGAGAAATATTTATTTATTTATTTATTTCGGGGTTCTTTTACCCCGCCCTTCTCACCCCGAAGGGGACTCAGGGCGGCTTACAAAAGCAAAAGCACAATTTGATGCCTGCAACACAGAACAATCAAAACACAAAATTACATCAATTCACAGTTAACAACAATTCATGCATTATATACCAATAAAATCAATAAAATCAATAAAACCAATACAAACCCAGTACCTCCTCCTACATGGTCAGCGATCGCTAACTCATAGTTCTAATTTCCAGTTCCACTTCGTCAATCCTGTTGGTCTTACTCGCCTGAGTGTCTTATTTAATTGCCAGATTGCCCAAAGGCCTGGTCCCAAAACCTGAAGGAGAGGAGGGATGATGATGCCCTGATTTCCCCCAGGAGTGAGTTCCACAGGTGAGGGGCCACCACTGAGAAAGCCCTGCTCCTCGTCCCCACCAACCTCACTTGTGACAGTGGTGGGGTCGAGAGCAGGGCCTCCCCAGATGATCTCAGACTCCGGGGTGGGACGTAGAGGGAAATACGTTCGGAAAGATACACTGGACCAGAACCGTACAGGGTTTTGTAGGTCTTTGTCAAACTAAGGGCCATATAACCCAGGATATCAAGGCAGAATATCTGGAATATCTGGAATATCTGAGTCAACACTGCCATGTAATCCAGTTCAATGTGGATTTTAGACAGCTATGTGGAAGGGGCTGACAACTCCCAGCATTCCACAGCACCGAGGGGCCATCAGCACTGAGCCATGGCAGATTAAAGTGGTATCAAACTGTGTTAATTCTACAGTGTAAATGCACCCCTAGAGAAATTTAATTTGATTTAACAATGTAGAAGCATGCACAGATACCCTCTTTAGCTATCTTTTGGGGTTTTTTTCCCCCAAATGAATCCCAAGATAAGGTGTACATGAGATACTATGAGAATTAAGAAGACTTAAGAAAGAAAAAAACCTTGATAAATCTACTTACCCGTCAAAACACAAAGCAGAGTCGGATCAAAATTGGGAAGAATACATTAAGACTTTTAATCTGATGCTTTGGAGGTTTTTCTACTCAAATCCGAACTCCGAAAGCCTGAAATCTTTAGTGAGTAGCGCAAGGGGTTCTAATTTAGGAACAAAAAGACACCTCTTGCGACAAGCTCCGAGAATCAAAAGCCGAGATTATTTGGCAGGTTTAATTTGAGCTGGAGATTAGCCCCAAGGCCTCTGTTTTATGCCTCTCCCTGAGCAAACACTCTGCTTTTTTCATCCTGCGGAAGCCATAGAGAATGCATCTACACTCTCAAACTAATGCAGTGTGATACTATGCTATGGAATAATGAGCATTTTACAATGTCTTGAGTCTTCTCTTCCAGGTACTGCATTATAATACAGATAATGCATATGGCATTTAGCTTTGGCAGTTAAAGCGGTGTCAAACTGCATTACTTTGATAATCCGCCGGGAAGTAGCAGCCACCGGGAAGTAGCAGCCAATAGTGAAAGGACTAAGGCAGTGACATCTCCAGCTCATCCCTTGTTTGGGTATCAGCCAGCACGTCAATGACTTAAATCAAGAAATAGTTTTCTAAGATCTACAGAGACACTCGCTGGAACATCTCAGCAAGCGAGAGTCCACAAGTGGCAGGCTCAAACCCAGAACCTCAACCAAATGAGAGACTCCCCCCTGGGCACACAGAGGACTGGGCGACTTGGAAGGCGCTGAACAGACTGTGCTCTGGCACCACGAGATGCAGAGCCAATCTTAAGAAATGGGGCTACAAAGTGGAGTCCACAACATGCGAGTGTGGAGAGGAGCCAACCACTGACCACCTGCTTCAATGCAACCTGAGCCCTGCCACATGCACAATGGAGGATCTTCTTACGGCAATACCAGAGGCACTCCAAGTGGCCAGATACTGGTCAAAGGACATTTAATCAACTACCAAGCTTGCAAACTTTGGTTTTTTTAAAAACCTGTTTGTTTGTTTTGTTCTATTAGAAATGTAATACAATGGTCTGGTTGCCCCTGACAGGATAAATAAAAACTTTGACAATGTAGATGTTGTGCTCAAGCGGGTTTCAGCCACATCCATTGCAGAAGACACAATAACATTGCACACAGGCAAGAGGAAAATGAACAGAAAAAAAACTTTACTCTTATCAGCAGAGTTAAAACATAAACTTGCAGTGTTGCAAACAAAACAAACAGTGCAACAAACTTACATAGTCCTTGTAAACAATCTATATAAGTAAAAATGTAATGTTCGTTTGTGGAATTAACATAAATCAAAAACCACTGGACGAATTGACACCAAATTTGGACACAAGACACCTATCAGGCCAACGACTGACCACCACTCCTAAAAACACTGAAAAACACAGCAGAAGGGACTTAAAAAGCAAAAAAAACCCCACAAAAATACATTACAACGCAGCGCAAAACCACATATATATACACAAACACACATATATACAAAAAGCACCTACACAGAAAGGAGGAAGGAAAGGAAGAAGAGAAAGGGAAAAGAAGGGAAGAAGGGAAGGAAGGAGAAGGAGAAGGAAGAGAGAAGGAAGGAAGAGGAAGGAAGGAGGAGAAGGAGGAAGGAGAAGGGGGAAGAGAGAGAGAAGGAAAGAAGAAGGAGAAGGAAAGGAGGAAGAAGGAGGGAAAGAGGAAAGGGGGGAAGGAAGGAAAAAGGTAGAAAAGGAAGGAAGGAGAAGGAAGGAAATAAAGTGAAAGAAGGAAGAATTAAGACATATGGTAATCAGTCGTACTTCGTGAGAGAATGAAATAGTGAAAGAGTTAAATTGATTCGATCTAATGAATTAAATATAGAATAGGTAGGGAATGTAAATGGAAATAGAACAATAATGATGTGAACCAAATATCAAAGGAGCGGAAAATTAACCGGTTAAAGAAAAACTTTACTCTTATCAGCAGTGTTAAAACATAAACTTACAATGTTACAAACAGTGCAACAAACTTACATAGTCTTTGTAAGCAATACAGAATAAGGCTTCTTCATCTTCATCCAAATGAGAGAGCAGTAGAAATGGTTGAGCAAAATGCCTGAGCAAAGGCTCCTCAGAGCAAAAGCTGAACTGTATTCTCAAAACCATACAGTTATACCTCACCAGGTGTGGTCCAAACTTACTAGTTGACCTACATTAGCAGCTGGACATAATAATTAACAGCATAAGGTTTTTGTTAACACACACGCATACTTGATCCTGTTAAGACTTACTGTAACAAGTCAAATTGGCAAATCAACATACACATAGAATGCAACCCCCACAATTCCTAACAGCTGGGAAGCTGTTAGGAATTGTGGGGTTGAAGTCCAAAACACCTGGAGGGAGGACCAAAGTTTGCCCAGGCTTGGTGTAGATACACCCAGCAAAAGCAAAGAGTGCAAAAGTGCTTGGGTCTTCTCTACGTTTGCCTCATTATGCTACAAATCCCACAGCATTGAACCATGTCAGCGAAAGTCGATTCAAATCGCATTACTTAGACAGTGTAGATGGCCCCAGGGAAGTCAAGAGTGCCTCTGGGGGACTGCAGAGTGCTGTAACAATTGTGAGTGGGACTCACCCTTCGGTGGAGGCAGTGACCAAGGCGACCTTATTGGCAAGGCAGCTTTTGGCGTCGGTGGCATTCATCCTGATGAAGCGGCTCATGGCTTGCCTAGCCGGAGAGATGGCCGCAAAGGAAGAGAAAGCGCGAGAAAACATCACCTCTGGTTCGGTCCTCTTTTTTGGAGTCTGCTCTGCAGGACAATGAGCAATTGCAATTGACCCAGCAATTATTAAAAACCAGGCCTTGCGTCATCATTTCCCCCATTTGCGGCACTGTGCCCTCTCCTCCTCCTTTGCTAAACTGCCCGGGGGCATCTACACTGTGGAATGAATGCTTGAACCGCCAGGGCTCATTTCTATGGAAGCTTTGGGAGTTGTCGTTTGGTGAGGTCCCAGCGTTCTTCCACACATGGGAATTAAAAGGTCTTTAGCTTTCTTGGTTGGCGCCTCCCCAAATTCCAGCTCCTAAGAGCTGGAAGTGTGCTTGGCAGGGCAAGGGGCAGGGCCTTCTCAGTGGTAGCCTCTCAGCTGTGGAACTCCCTTCCCAGGGATAGTACATCGGCCCCCTCTCTCCTGACCTTTTGGAAAAGAGTAAAAACCTGGCTCTTCAAGCAAGCTTTTGGTAACATGGCATAATTGGATAAATACAGTATGATGCAATAACGAACACGGAATGGCTTAGACGATGGAAATGGATATGCAGTCAAATTGGTAGACAGTAATTATTATAGTTTTAATTGGCTTTATATGGATTTTATTATGTGATATTAAATGTTTTTAATTGATATGCATGTATATTATTTATTTATTTATTTAAAACATTTCTATTCCGCCCTTCTCACCCCGAAAGGGACTCAGGGCAGAGCGTAGCATATACACGGCAAACATTCAATGCCAGGACACAGATTCACATACAATACATAAACATTAAAAAACATTTATCAAAATATTAAAATACGCCATTTAAAACCATCCTAGTCACCCACGTCAAATCTAATTGGCCTGCTCATCTTTCCTATTGCCGCTTTATTGCCCTGTCCCGAAAGCTTGGTCCCACAGCCAAGTTTTTACCATCCTTCTAAAGGACAGGAGGGAGGGGGCCGACCTGATCTCACCAGGAAGGGAGTTCCATAGCTGGGGAGCCATCACCGAGAAGGCCCTGTCTCTCATCCCCACCAATCGTGCCTATGACAATGGCGGGACAGAAAGCAGGGCCTCCCCGGAGGATCTTAATCTCCGCGATGGTTCATAGGGGGAGATGCGTTCGGACAGGAAATTTGGGCCGGGCCCGTTTAGCGCTTTATAGGCCAAAGCCAGCACTTTGAATTGTGCCCGGTAGCAAACTGGCAGCAAGTGGAGCTGGCATAACATGGGAGTTGTATGCTCCCTGTATGCTGCCACAGTTATTAACCTGGCTGCCTCTCGTTGGGCTATTGGAAGCTTCCGAGCAGTCTTCAAAGGCAACCCCACCTAGAGTGTGTTGCAGTAGTCTATCCTAGATGTAATGAGACCATGGACCACTGTGGCCAAGTCTGACTTCCCAAGGTACGGGCGCAGCTGTCACACAAGTTTATGGCATCTTATTGTTGCCAGTCTGTACACCGCCTTGAGTAGCATTGAGTCACATTGCTGCTAATGAGTTGCTCTGCTGTACATTTTTGAGGAGGGTCTTTTGTTATTAAGCCCACTTGCCCAACAGGACAGACATGAGCAAAGGCAGCCTAGGAAAGAAGAAGTTGTGCTCTCCAGTCAGGCACTGCTCCTGAACCCATTGATCATGAAAGTAGGGTTCCCTTCCCTCCTTCCCAGACCCCCAAAGAAAGAGAGAGACACGTAAGATTCATTCAAAGAGACAGCTTTATTTGGTTCAGGAGAAAAGAAGTGAAAGGCACAGAGAAACATTTTTTGGTCCTACTCATTGGAGGACCACAGAGCGTCCATACTCCCCAAAAGCCTTCAGAGCCCCAACACTTTTGTGATCCCATAAACACATACCTCTCTCAATTCCCGTCTTCTCTAGCAAAGTAATATTGTTTTTCTTTCCAACTAGCCCTTAATGCAACCAGGGGCAAACTTTCTAACTTGGGGGCTGCATGCAAGCACTCTCTGCTAGGAGAACTGCCTTCCCGGTGACGAACAGACGGAAGGAAGGACAAAAGGGAGGGCAAGAGGAAGGAAAGAGAGAAGGAAGAAAGAACGAAATGGAGGAATGGAAGGAGAAAGAGGGAGGGAGGTAAGGAGGAAGGAAAGAGAAAAGGGAGGGAAGGAAGAAAGAGTGGAAGGGAAGGGAAGGAAGGATGGAAGGGAGGGAGGGAAGGAGGAAGGAAAGAAAGAAGGAAGAATGAAAGGACAGAAGGGAATGGAGGGAGGGGAGAAGAGGGAAGGGAGGGAGGAAAGAAAAGGAACAGAAGGGAGGGAGGGAGGGAAGGAGGAAGGAAAAAGGGAGGAAGGACAAAAGGGAGGGCAAGAGGAAGGAAAGAGAGAAGGAAGAAAGAACAAAAGGGAGGAATGGAAGGAGAAAGAGAGAGGGAGGTAAGGAGGAAGGAAAGAGAAAAGGGAGGGAAGGATGAAAGAGTGGAAGGGAAGGGAAGGAAGGATGGAAGGGAGGGAGGGAAGGAGGAAGGAAAGAAATAAGGAAGGAAGAATGAAAGGACAGAAGGGAATGGAGGGAGAGGGAAGAGGCAGGGAAGGGAGGGAGGGAGGAAAGAAAAGGAAGGAAAGACAAAAGGAAAGGAAGAGAAGGGAGGGAGGGTAGGAAAGAGGAAGGAAGGACAAAAGGGTGGAAGGGAAGGAGAAAGAGGGAGGGAAGGAGGAAGGAAAGAGAGAAGGAAGAAAGAACAAAAGGGAGGAAGGGAGGGATGGAAGGAGAAAGAGGGGGAGGTAAGGAGGAAGGAGAGAAGGAAGGAAAGAAAAAAGGGAGGGAAGGACGAAACAGTGGAAGGGAATGGGAGGAAGGGAGGAAGGAAAGAAAGAAGGAAGGAAGGAAGGAAGGAAGGAAGGAAGGAAGGAAGGAAGGAAGGAAGGAAGGAAGGAAAGAAGGAAGGATGAAAGGACAGAAGGGAATGGAGCGAGGGGGGAAGAGGCAGGGAAGGAAGAGAGGGAGGAAAGAAAAAGAAGGAAAGACAAAAGGGAAGGAAGAGAAGGAAGGGAGGGAAGGAAGGAGGAAGGAAAAAGGGAGGGAGGACAAAAGGGTAGAAGGGAAGGAGAAAGAGGGAGGGAAGGAGGAAGGAAAGAGAGAAGGAAATGATGGTGAGAGAGAGGAGTGCCTGAGAAAAGAGCCGAAGGTGCTGCATTTGGCCTCCTGGCCTGGGCTTACACATACCTGCCTTAATGGCACCGATGCTTTACGTGCGTAAGAGGAGAACTAAGAGGCCCCTATGTGACCCTAAGGCTCTTTTTACAGCCCTCTGCCGGGCCATTCCGACCCTTCTGAGAGTAGAAAATTGGACAATATACAGTGCCCACCCCACTTTAGATCATTCTCAATCCAAACAGGTGCACCACAAGAGCCTTTTAAAGAAGGTATAGACATTGATCTTGTAGCCTACAGCTTTCATCATCATCTTCTGCCTCTCCAAAATGAGATCCTGGATTTCTCCCATTCATACCTTCTGGTAGCTTCAAAGACAAGACAACCTTCATACTCATAAGCATCCCCTCAAATAGATTTGTTAGCCAACATGAAGCTCCCCTATATTATATATTCCTGGAATTCCAGAAGCGCTCGGTGAAAGCATGTTCCATGTCCACAGGAGGACCACAATTCCCATCAGAGACGGGACGGTGCACCTCCAGCCACCACTATCGTCTCTCCTGTAATATAGTCAGCATCTGGTGAACAAAGGAAGGAAACAATGCCGGAACAGTCGGATGGTTGTCCAATCCTGAGAGGGGGAAAAGAAAACAAAACAAAAAGGTTCTCCAAGAGTTTAGAGTAAAGGAAATAGCATCTAGGGGGATCACAGACTGGGTTCACATGGAACGAGAAACCAGGATTCGGAGAGAATCCTGATTTATTTATATTTATTTATTTACGTCCCTTGTATACCGCTTTTCTCACCCCAGTGGGGAGGGGGCTCAAAGCGGTTTCCAACATATTTAAGCCGCACATGCATATGAAACCTAACACAAAACAAGAATAACATATAACTATCAATTAGATCAAATGGATGGCTAGGTGGCATAGAGACAAGGTTACCTTTGGATCCTCATGGACTCCATTGTTTTCTCCAGCGTGGCTTCATCTTCCCTTAACTGAAACAAGAACATGCCTGTCAGTTTGTTTCCTCTCTTTATTAATACAAGAATTACCACCCCTATTGCAACAAACTTCTAAGGGTGCATCTATATTGTAGACTTAATGCAGTTTCAAAGCACATTAACTGCTAAGGCTCAATATTATAAAATCATGGGAGTTGTAGTTTGATGAGGCATGTGCACTCTTTGCCAGAGAAGATCTTGTAAAACTACAACTCTCATGGTCCCAAAGCATTGAGCTATGAAAGTTAAAGTGGTGTCGAGCCCCATTAACTCTATAGTGTAGATACAACCACAGAAGTTCCTCCATTCAGTGGTCTCCATGGAAAGTCAACATTTCACAACAACAAGCCATAACTCTTTGCCTCTTTCCTCCAACTTCTGGAACTCACCACTGAGCTGAACTTGGTTTCGATCAAGCCGGGCGCCAGGCAGTTGATGCGTATTTTTCGGGAGCTCAATTCGGGGACAAAGTTGCGTACGAGGCCCACAAGAGCCGTCTTGCTGACGTTGTAGGGACCCAAACCCTAGAAAGGAGTGAAGACCATTGGCTTTGACATTTCCCCAACTTGAGTTCCTATAGACTACATCACCCATCTTACCCTGAGTTACTTTAGGCCCCAGCCTTCAAGCCATCTTGAGCCTTTCTTCTAGATATAGTTGAACAAACTATTACAATAATGATAATTATACTTCCCAGTCAACTACAGCACTGATCCAAAAAGTAAATGAGCATTTAGCCCCGGGATTGTGGTGCAGCTGGCTGAGTGTCAGCTGCATTAAGATCGCTCTGACCAAAAAGGTCATGAGTTCGAAGCCAGCCCGGGTTGGAGTGGGTTTCCAACCAATTGTGTGTAGCCTTTGCAACCCGAAAGACAGTTGCATCTGTCAAGTAGGAAAATAAGGTACCACCTTAAAGTGTGGGGAGGCTAAATTAACCGATTTATGAGGCCGTAAAGAAGACTCCAGCAAAAGCATTCCAGCGGGGAAGCATGTGGGGAATGCGGAAGTGCTTCATCAGTGTCGCAGATGGACGATGAAAGCAACAGCTCCCCTGGTGGCCAGAAAAAGTTAAATAGCCTCTGTGTATGTCTGTGTATGTTTGTATGTCAAAAATTGGCATTGAATGTTTGCCATATATGTGTACACTGTAATCCGCCCTGAGTCACCTGCAGGGTGAGAAGAGCGGAATATAAAAGCTGTAAATAAATAAATAAATAAATAAGAAAGTGGCTTACAACTTATATGTACATACAATATATTATATTATTAGCATAGCACAATATTAGTATTATATACTAATATATTGTACTATACTGCAATATTATTAGTGATATTACATGTGATATAAAATATATAATTATTATATTATTATTATAGTGTATTAGTATATTACAATATTATGATCAATATTATATGTTCATACAATATATTATAATTATTAGCATAGCACAATATTAGTATTTTGTATTACTATACTGTACTATACCACTATGCTGCAATATTATTAGTAATATTACATGTATATATAATATTAGTATTATATAGGATGTATATGAAACATAAACGGGGCCCCACCTACATTGCCATATTAAAATTTAGGATTATCTGCTTTGAACTGTATTGCTTTATCTGTCTATCTATTTATCTATTTATCTATTTATCTATTTATCTATATATCTATATATCTATATATCTATATATCTATCTATCTATCTATCTATCTATCTATCTATCTATCTATCTATCTGTGTCTCCCATCTCTATCTATCTATTTATCTATCTATTTACAGTATTTACAGTATTTATATTCTGCCCTTCTCATCCGAAGGGGACTCAGGGTGGGTGACAGAACATACATATATGGCAAACATTCAGTGCCGTTTATACACAAACAAGATACACAATTGTACATAGATAGAGGTATATATAGGCTTTGCCCCATCTTCAGCATCTTGGAGGCTGTGCTTGTTGCCGGCCACCAGGTGGTGCTGTTGCTCCATCTTCTCTGCCAAAGAGCTTTGTTTGTAAACTTCCTCCTTGATCTAATTGCCAGCATTTTTCTGGCATTTCTTTATAGGTGCCTTAAAACACCTCCCTGCTTTTAAGCAGTACCTATTTATCTACTCACATTTTGCTTTCGAACTACTAAGTAGGTGGAAGCTGGGCTAAAGGCCAGGAACTCACCCTAATCCGTGCTTCCAAGTGTCAACCTTTTGACTGACAAAATTTCCTGCAGCTGGTGGTTTAACCTGCTGTGCTAAAGCCTGGCCCAGGCAGTGTAGATCCAGCCTGAATTTCATGCTTAGACCACATGATGCAGTTCCTCAAAACACAGAGGAGGAAGGAAGCAACCGACTCACCGGAAAAGGGGAATAGGCTGCAATGGAGGAGACCAGGACAATAGAGCCGCCTCTGTAACAAGAGGAAGGGAGAAAAGGAGATAATTTAGTTGGAGTGCACTACCTCTTTCCTTCCTTCTTTTTCTTTTCCTTTTTGCGTAGCCTTCTTTCCCCCTCTTATTTGAAATATTTTAGCAAAAATACCAAGAAAAATGCCCATCTTGTGCACTCACCCTCTTTTTTCCATATGAGGCACCACCAACTGAATCAGCATGGCAGCAGCTTTGACGTTGATATCCAGAATCTGCAAATACAAAAGCAAGTAAAGAGAGGACCAGCTTCAAAAGCAGCTCCTTCATTCATTGGGTGCACCTACACTGGAGAATTAACGCAGTTTGACACCACTCTAAGTGCTGTAGCTCAATGCTATGGAATCCTGAAACTGGTAGTTTTATAAGGACCTTAGCATTCTCTCTCAAAGAGTGTTGGTGCCAAACCAAACTACAACTCCCAAAATTCCATGATTGAACCATGGCAGTTCAAGTGGGGTCAAGCTGAATCATGTTCAGTAGCTAATAGGCAGCTAGTGGAGTTTCAGGAACAGGGGGGTTGTATGTTCCCTTTGCAATGCCCAGTTAACAACATGGCTGCAGCGCATTGGACTATTTGCAGCTTCCGAACAGTCTTCAAAGGCCGCCCCACATAGAACACTTTGCAGTAGTCTAAACAGGATGTAACAAGAGCATGGACTACCGTAGCTAAGTCAGACTATTTTTACCAACTTCAATGTATTATTATTGTTGCTGTTGTTATATTAATGCATTATTATCGTCGTCGTCATCATCATCATCATCATCATCATCATCCTCATCATCCTCACCTTGTCCCAGACCTCTCCTGGTGTGTCAAGGATGGGGCCAAAATAGGGGTTCACGGCTGCATTAGACACCAAAATGTCAATCCCTCCATGGCGCTCAAGAGCCTAAAAGCAAAGTAATGACAGCAACATTAGCAATAACTCTTAAAATATTTTGATATTACAATCTTAAGCCTTCACTGATAATGTTCAGCTCTAAGCATAAGCTCTAAAAGAGGTAAACTTTTAATATATATGTGTTACTAGCTGTCCCCTGCCATGCATTGCTGTGGCCCAGTCTGTGTGTATGTGTTTTATGTGTGTATATTTCTGTGTATATGTGTATACATGTGTTTGCGTGTATGTGTGGTTTGCAAATGTGTTGTTTTTTTTTTTGCCTTTTTGTATTTTTCAGTGTTTTTATGAGTGATGATCACTTGTTGGCCTGACAGGTGTCTTGTGTCCAAATTTGGTGTCAATTCGTCCAGAGGTTTTTGAGTTATGTTAATCCCACAAATGAACATCACATTTTTATTTATATCCTAGCTATCCCCTGCCATGCGTTGCTGTGGCCCTGTCTGTGTATATGAGCTTTGTGTGTGTATGTATGTGTATATGTGTATATATGTGGTTTTGCGCATGTGTTATAATGTAATTCTTATTTTTTTGCTTTTTAAGTCTCTTCTGCTGTGTTTTTCAGTGTGTTTATTGAGTGATGGTCACTCATTGGCCTGATAAGTGTCTTGTGTCCAAATTTGGTGTCAATTCGTTCAGAGGCTTTTGAGTTATGCTAATCCCACAAACGAACATTACATTTTTATTTATATAGAAGATGGCGACAATTTTTATGTTTATATTGTTTTGTTAATGTTACAGTTATGTTGTTTACTTTGTATGTATTGGTGCTGTTACTTGGAAACCGCTCTGAGTCCCCTCGGGGAGATAGAGCAGTATATAAATAAAGTATTATTATTATTATTATTATTATTATTATTATTATTATTATTATAAACAAACAGGTCTGGAGAAAGATCTTCTGTCAGTGGTAGCTGGAAAGAAGCCACCCTAAATGGGACCCAACCTTTCCTGACCCAGTATGATTTTTACTACCATGGTTCAATGCAATGAGAAACCTGGGAGTTGGAGTTTTAACAGGTCTTTTGCATTCTCTGCCAAATGACCACTAGTACACCAAACTATATAACTCCCAGGATTGCCTAGCATTGAGCCATGGCAGTTGCCAAAGTGCATGAATCCTACAGTGCAGATGCTGCCCATGGTGCCAAAGACACTCCATTCTCACCGTCTCGATTAGGCGCTGCCTGTCTTTGTCTTTGCCCACATGGCACACCAACCCCGACACGCTGAGGTTCTCCGTTCGCAGCTCGGCCACGGCCCGGTCCACGTTGGCTTGTTTCCGGCTGCTCAGAACCACATGAGCACCATCTTGGGCCAGGCGGCGAGCGATTGCAAAGCCAATTCTAGAAAGAAATGGGCAAGGAAAGAAACAACCAGCATGAAATATGTGGAATATTTGCTCCTTGGAATTCCGGTGGAGTCTCCTTCACTGGAGCTTTTTAAACAGAGGCTGGATGGCCATCTGTTGGGGATGATTTGACTGGATATAATGCCTGTCTGGATAGAACTTGGGAGTTTATGATGATCTGCAGAATATCAAGGCAGATCATCCACACTGTCTGCTTTGAACTGGAATATCTGAGTCCACACTGCCATATAATCCAGTTCAATGTGGTTTTTATACAGCTGTGTGGAAGGGGCTGACAACTCCCAGAATGCCATAGCACTAAGCCATGGCACTTTAAAGTGGTGCCAAACTGTGTTAAGCATCCCTAGATATCCTCCCTGGCGATCTTTTGGGTTTTTTCAAACGAATCCCAAGATAAGGTGTGCATGAAATACTATGAGAATTAACAAGACTTGGAAAAAAACCCTTGATAAATCTGCTTACCCGTCAAAACACAAAGCAGAGCCGGATCAAAATTGGGAAGAATACATTAAGACTTTTAATCTGATGCTTTGGAGGCTTCTCCACTCAAATCTGAACTCCGAAAGCCTGAAGTCTTTAGTGAGAAGCGTGAGGGGCTCTAATTTAGGAACAAAAAGACACCTCTTGCGACAAGCTCCAAGAATCAAAAGCCGAGATTAGCTGGTGGGTTTAACTTGAGTTGGAGATTAGCCCCAAGGCCTCTGTTTTATGCCTCTCGCTGAGCCAACACTCTGCATTTTTCATCCTGGGGCAGCCACACAGAATGCATCTACATTCTAAAACTAATGCAGTGTGATACCACTTTAACAGCGATGGCTCTATACTATGGAATTGTGGGCGTTTTACAATGTTTTTAGTCTTCTGTTTCAGTTACTGCAGATATTGAATATGGCTGGATTGTTATAGGATCCAGCCATATTCAATATCTGCAGTAACTGAAACTAGGAAACTAGGAAAATTGGGTTTATATATCTGTGGAATGGCCAGGGTGGGAGAAAAAACTCTTGTATGTTGGCAAGGACCTAACAGAAGCTGAAGAGATCAAGAGAAGGTCGTGAGACTATACAAAAGATCTGCATAGGAAGGATAATAATATCGAGGATAGCTTTGACGGTGTGATGAGTGAATTAGAACCAGACATCCTGAGGAGTGAGGTTGAATGGGGCTTAAAAAGCACTGCTAACAACAAGGCAGCAGGAGACAACGGGATTCCAGCTGAACTGTTTAAAATATTGAAAGATGATGCTGTCAAGGTGTTACATGCCATATGCCAGCAAATATGGAAAACACAAGAATGGCCATCAGACTGGAAAAAATCAGCATATATCCCCATATAAAAAGGGGAATGCTAAAGAATGCTCAAACTTCCGTACAGTGGCCCTTATTTCACATGTCAGGAAGGTAATGCTCAAGATCCTGCAAGGAAGACTCCAGCAATACAAGGAGCGAGAGTTGCCAGATGTTCAAGCTGGGTTCAGAAAAGGCAGAGGAACGAGAGACCAGATTGCCAATATCCGGATGCTGGATAATGGAGAAAGGCAGGGAGTGTCAGAAAAACATCTATTTCTGCTTCATTGACTACTCTAAAGCCTTAGACTGTGTGGATCATAATAAATTGTGGCAAGTTCTTGGTGGGATGGGCATCCCAAGCCCCCTTCCCTCTCTCCTGAGGAATCTGTATAAGGACCAAGTAGCAACAGTCAGAACTGACCACAGAACTGACCACGGAACAAATGTTATAACCAAGGTGAAAGAAGAAAGTGCAAAAGCTGGGTTGCAGTGAAACATCAAAACAACGAAGATTCTGGCAACCAGATTGATTGATAACTGGCAAATAGAAGGAGAAAATGTGGAGGCAGAAACAGACTTTGTATTTCTAGGTTCAAAGATGACTGCAGACACAAACTGCAGGCAGGAAATCAGAAGACGCCTCCTTCTTGGGAGGAGAGCAATGTCCAATCTCAATAAAATAGTGAAGAGTAGAGACATCACACTGGCAACAAAGATCCGCATAGTCAAAGCAATGATATTCCCCATAGTCACCTATGGATGTGAGAGCTGGACCAGAAGGAAGGCTGAGCAAAGGAAGATAGATGCTTTTGAACTGTGGTGTTGGAGAAAAATCCTGAGAGTGACTTGGACCATGAGAAGATCCAACCAGTCCATACTTCAAGAAATAAAGCCTGACTGCTCATTGGAGGGAAGGGTAGTAGAGGCAAAGATGAAGTATTTTGGCCACATCATGAGAAGACAGGAAAGCTTAGAGAAGGGAATGATGCTGGGGGAAATGGAAGGGAAAAGGAAGAGGGGCCAACCAAGGTCAAGATGGATGGATGGTATCCTTGAAGTGACTGGCTTGACCGTGAAGGAGTGGGGGTGGCCACGGTCGACAGGGAGCTCTGGCCTGGGATGGTCCAGGAGGTCAGGAAGAGTCGGAAGTGTTTGAACGAATAAACAACAACAACAACAACAAAGTATTGTTGAAGGCTTTCATGGCCGGAATCACTGGGTTGTTGTAGGTTTTTTCGGGCTATGGCCATGTTCTAGAGGCATTCTCTCCTGATGTTTCCCTGCAATGGCAAGCATCCTCAGAGGTACCACTACCTCTGAGGATGCTTGCCATAGATGCAGGCAAAATGTCAGGAGAGAATGCATCTAGACCATGGCCATATAGCCCGAAAAAACCTACAACAACCCAACAACAACAAATTTGACAGTGTAGATCAGGCGTGGGCAAACCTTCCCCATCTCCCAGATGTTTTGGATTTTAACTCCCACAATTCCTAACTCCCTCCAGAAGTCCAAAACATCTGGAGGGAGGACTGAAGTTTGCCCACGCCTGGTGTAGATACACCCAGTGAAAGCAAAGAGTGCCTCTGGTGGAGTGCAAAGTACTTAAGTCTTCTCTGCTGTTGCCTCACTAGGCTACAAATCCCAATATTCCATAGCATTGCGGGTACAAGCCACATTACTTTGACAGTGTAGATACACCCAGGGAAGTCAAGAGTGCCTCTGGGAAACTGCAGAAGGCAATTGTGAATAGGACTCACCCTTCGGTGGAGGCGGTGACCAAGGCGACCTTATTGGCGAGGCGGCTTTTGGCGTTGGTGGAATTCATCCTGATGAAGCGGCTCGCGGCTTGCCTGGCCTGAGGGACGGCAGCAAAGGAAGAGAAAACGCGAGGGAACATCACCTCTGGTGCAGTCCTCTTTTTGGACTCTGCTCTGCAGGGCAAGGAGCAATTGCAATTGATCCAGCAATGATTAAAACCTAGGCCTCGTGTCATCATTTCCCAATTTGCGGGCACTCCTCCTCCTTTGCTAAACAGTCGAGGTGGGGGGGGGGGGCATCTACACAGTGGAATGAAGGCAGTTTAACCCCGGTTGAACTGCCAGGGCTCAATGCTATGGGGAGATGACATTTGGTGAGGGCAGAGCACTTTTCAGCTCATGGGAGATGCAGTTTTACAAGGTCTTCAGCCTTCTCGGCTGGTGCTGCCCCAAACTACACCTCCCAAGATTCTGTAGCATTCAGCCACGACAGTTCAATAGGTATCTTTTATAGAAATATGTATATTTAGGTAATGTTTACAATGTTTTATGCATTTAAATTATGCAGTAACCCACCTTGAGCTATGAGGACAAGCAGGTAAGATATATATATATGTGTGTGTGTGTGTGTGTGTGTTCTGTGCGTAATGAGTACCTTAAAAACAAAAGAACCAATGAACGAAATCACACCAAATTTCGCAACGAAACGTCTCACAACACAAGGAGTGACCATCACTCAAAAAAAATTAGGATTTTGTCATTTGGGAGTTGTAGTTGCTGGGATTTATTGTTCACCTACAATCAAAGACCATTCTGAACTGCATCAATAATGGAATTGAGCCAAACTTGGCACACAGAACTCCCATGATCAACAGAAAATACTGGAAGGGTTTGGTAGGCATTGACCCTGAGTTTGGGAGTTGTAGTTCACCTACATCCACAGAGCACTGTGGACTCAAACAATGATGGATCTGGACCAAACTTGGCACGAATACTCAATACAGCCAAATATGAACACAGATGGAGTTTGGGGGAAATAGACCTTGACATTTGGGATTTGTAGTTGCTGGGATTTATAGTTCACCTACAATCAAAGATCATTCTGAACCCCACCAATGATAGAATTGGGCCAAACTTCCCACACAGAATCCCCAGGACCAACAGAAAATACTGTGTTTTTCTTTGGTGACCCTTCTGACACCCCCTCACAACCTCCTCCCAGGGTCCCGACCCCCAGGTTGAGAAATGCTGCCTTAAGGCCACCCAGTCCAACTCCCTTCATCAGGGCAAGAAAATATAATCAAAGCCCTCCAGACAAAGAGCCATCCAGCCATAGATATAGATAGATATGATTCACATGCACACAGATATAATATCATAGATTTGAAAGGGACCCCTGAAGAAGGACAATGATATGTTGCATGTTGTAGAGTAGGCAAACCAGACACTCTCCACATCAACACTGACAAAGAAACGGCAAGAAATACTGTTTACCCACAAGCAGAAAGACATTACATCTATTAGAAACCAATGCTTTCTCATTACTTTATTTTCCAGACTGAGCCACAGCAACACATGGCAGGAGAAAGCTAGTTCTATATAAATAAAAATGTAATGTTCGTTTGTGGGATTAACATAACTCAAAAACCACTGAACAAATTGCCGCCAAATTTGGATACAAGACACCTCTCAGGCCAACAAGTGACCATCACTCATAAAAATACTGAAAAACACAGCAGACGAGACTTAAAAAGCCAAAAAACAAAAAAAATACATTACAACGCATGTGCAAAACCACATATATAAATGCAAACACACATATACACAAATATACACTCACACAGCACATATACACAGACTGGGCCACAGCAACGCGTGGCAGGGGATGGCTAGTAAAATAATAATGATGTTGTCAAACTGCGTTGTTGAAGGCGTTCATGGTCGGAATCACTGGGTTGCTGTGGGTTTTCTGGGCTGTATGACTATGTTCTAGAAAGAGTCTCTCCTGACGTTTCATTCACATCCCAACAAAGGATTCCCCCAGGCAGGAAGCAACCAGACTTTGAAGCTGCAAGGCTATTCAAGCTGGCCAATTGCAACATTCACACTAGTTTTGTAGGATATGGAAATTACCAAGACAGCAATCGCTCCAGGAAAGTCATTGCTGGGTCTGGGTTGCTGTGAGTTTTTCGGGCTGTACGATCTTGTCCTAGAAGCATTCTCTCCTGATGTTTTGCCGACATCTATGGCAGCCATCCTCAGAGGTTGTGAGGTCTGCTGGAAACTAGGCAAGTGGGGTTTATATATTTGTGGAATAATATCTAGGATGGGAGAAGGAACTCTTTTCTTTTTATGGCACTGGCTACCTTGTTAGCACTGAATAGCCTTGCAGTTTCAAAGCCTGGCTCCTTCCTGCCTGGGGGAATCCTTTGTTCGGAGGTTATTATTATTATTATTTAAAACTTGTATATCCCGATCTTCTCACCTCCGTAGAGGGACTCAGACCAGCTTACAGCAAGGATTCAATGCTACTAATACAAGTTAAAACATCATACAACAATACAAGATTAAAATACATATAGATAAAATACATCTATACCAAATCGCCAAGGTAAAATCATGTTCAGCTCAGTCTGCATATGTGGTCACTCACTTTGGTCTGTAACCAGTCTCAGCCAATATTCTGGGAATGCTTTGTTCCATAACCAGGATTTCACTAGCCTCCTGAAGGACGAGAGGGAGGGGGCAGACCTCATCTCGCTTGGGAGAGAGTTCCATAGCCGAGGAGCCACCACAGAGAAGGCCCTGTCTCTCGTTCCCACTAACGAAGGTGGTGGGACCGAGAGCAGGACCTCTCCGGAAGATCTTAACGTCCTTGATGGTTCATAGGGAAGAATACATTAGGTTATTAGCTGTCCCTGAATGTTTCCTGTCTGGAATTCCTTGTTTTCTGAGTGTTGCACTTTACTTACTGTCCTGATTTTAAAGTTTTTAAAATACTGGTAGCAAGATTTTGTTCATTTTCATGGTTTCCTCCTTTCTGTTTCCCATCCTTGGTATTCATCTTTTACTGGTGTTGATATGGAGGTGCAACAATTCATTGCCTGTGTTTGCTTTGAAGCAGGCAGGAAGCAGCCAGGCTTTGAAGCTGCAAGGCCATTCAATACTAACATTTTAACATTTTATCTCGTGCATTTGTTTGATTTTTTATTATGTTCTTTTGCACTGTTTATTTTATTTTGTTACTTTATGTATTTTGTTGTGATGTATTTTTTCCCCTGTTGTTTTGTGTCTAACTTTGCTATATTATTTTTGGGCTTGGTCTCAAGTTAGCCGCCCCGAGTCCCCTTCGGGGAGATGGTGGTGGGATATAAATAAAGATTATTATTATTATTATTATTATTATTGTATTGTCGAAGGCTTTCATGGCCGGAATCACTGGGTTGTTGTAGGTTTTTTTGGGCTATATGGCCATGTTCTAGAGGCATTCTCTCCTGATGTTTCGCCTGCATATATGGCAAGCATCCTCACTACCTCTGAGGATGCTTGCCATAGATGCAGGCGAAACGTCAGGAGAGAATGCCTCTAGAACATGGCCATATAGTTCGAAAAAACCTACAACAACCCATTATTATTATTATTATTATTATTATTATTATTATTACTACTACTATAACTCCCATCATCCCCTTCCAACAAGATGTTCAACTATGCAATGCAAGAGAAAAGCCATGCTAATTCCAGAACACATTTTGGATTGCACTTTCCCAAATCCTTGGTCATTGCAAGGATTCAACCTCAAGCCAGATTTTGGAAAAGTTACTTTCTTGGACAGTTCCCAGAACTCTTATCTAGTATGTCCTTCGGCTGCACGATGCCAAAGAGATGCAACACCACAACCTGGCAAATAGGATTTGGGGGCTACAACTCCCAGAACTCTCCAACAAAAGGGGGATTCTGGTCATTGTAGTCCAAAAGGGCTTCCCCCCCACCCCACCCAAAGTTCTGGCATTTTATTCTGCACCCTTTCCTGCTAATTTTTGATTCTTCTCCTGCCTTTTTGAATCGATATCTCAGTAAGATATATGCCCCCCACAATGGAACCCCCAAAAAAAGTCTCACCAAGGAAGATGTTGCAATTCTTTCAAAGCAAGCAGGAAGTCAAGCCAGGAGGCAATGCAGCCAAGCGAGGAAGGCTCACGGCTGCCCTCTGGTGGTCAGCGCCGGTTTTTCTCCAAAATAGGAGGGAACGGGAGTTGAAGCCCGGCAGCTCTAGGTCTCGCGAGACTTCCCATTGGAGCCAGTTTATCCAGGATGTGAGCTTAAGCAACAAGGCTGTTCCAACCCTGGATGAGTCCCTGCTCCATGTTAGTTCCCCTTTCCACAAAGATAACTATTTTTTCCCCTTTGCAGGTCTCACTAAAACCAATGCAATTTGATCTTGCTTTAATTAATTGCCATGGCTCAGTGCTAGTGAAACCTGGGAGTTGTAGTTTCCCAAGGTCTGCCCATGATTTCTAAAAAGATAACTTATTTTTCCCCATTGGAGGTCTAACTAAATCCAATGCAATTTGACCTTGCTTTCATTAATTGCCATGGTTCGATGCTAGTGAAACCTGGGAGTTGTAGTTTCCCAAGGTCTGCCCATGATTTCTAAAAAGATAACTTATTTATTTCCCCATTGGAGGTCTAACTAAAACCAATGCAATTTGACCTTGCTTTAATTAATTGCCATGGCTCAATGCTAGTGAAACCTGGGAGTTGTAGTTTCCAGGGTCTGCCCATGATTTCTAAAAAGATAACTTTTTTTCCCATTGGAGGTCTCACTAAAAACGATGCAATTTGACCTTGTTTTAATTAATTGCCATGGCTCAGTGCTAGTGAAACCTGTGAGTTGTAGTTTCCCAAGGTCTGCCCAATGTGATTTGGGGAGTTTGCCCTCCTTTCTTGTGCATGTAGAATGAATGTGGTTCTGTGACACTTTAAATGCTATGGGAACCTGGGAGTTGTAGTTTCCCAAGGTCTGCCCAATGTGATTTGGTGGGTTTGCCCTCCTTTCTTGTGCATGTAGAATGAATGCGGTTTTGTGAAACTTTAAATGCTATGGAGATCCTGGGAGTTGTAGTTTCCCAAGGTCTGTCCCAATATGATTGGGTGCGTTTGCCCTCCTTTCTTGTGCATGTAGAATGAATGTGGTTTTGTGACACTTTAAATGCTGTGGGGATCCTGGAAGTTGTAGTTTTCCAAGGCCACCTCTGCCAAATGTGGTTTGGTGAGTTTACACCAGGCCTGGGCAAACTTGGGCCCTCTGGGTGTTTTGGACTTCAACTCCCACAATTCCTAACAGCCTACCGGCTGTTAGGAATTGTGGGAGTTGAAGTCCAAAACACCTGGAGTGCCCAAGTTTGCCCAGGCCTGGTTTACACTCTTTTAGGTGGATCTACACTGTAGAATTATTGCAGTTTGATACCCCTAGAACTGCCATAGCTCAGAGCTATGGAATCCTGGGAATTGTAGTTTTGTTTTGCAAGGTTTTGTGCCTTCTCTGCCAATTAATGCTGGTGCCTCAGCAAACTACAAATCCCAGGACTACATAGCATTTAGCCAGGGCAGTTAAAGAGGTGTCAAAATGCATTAATTCTACAATATAGAGACTTTGAAGAGCAAGGCTGGAATCACTGGCTCAGACATGAAAACCCATTGGGTGACTTTGAGTCAGTCACACTCTCTCAGCCTCAGAGTAAGGCCAAAGCTAATGCTTTTCTCAATACATCATGCTTTAATGTTTGAATATTTGCATATTTTGAATTGCGTGGTTGATATCGAGCTAGAATTTGGAGGCTCCTCCTCAGGAGAGAGGAGCCCTCAGACCCACCAAAGAGGATTCTTGGCAAGCAAAGAGGAAAAGACCCAGAATTTTCCCTGATTCTCACCAAGGTTGAAGAAAAGCTACCCACCAGAGTCCAAAAGAAGAAGAAAAAGTCCATAAGCATAAAATCATAATATCCCTTGATCATGAGAAGGGAGTCCATAGGGCTGGGGAAAAGTTCAATAAAGTTTGAAAAATTCCTTGAAAGTTTAAGAAAGTTGTCCAAAGTTGTAAAATCCTTACAATCGTCCACCAATGCTGAAGATCAAAATCTGGAGAACTACAGATCCCTTCACACCAAAGGACCAAGGCAGCCCATCGACATCTTAGGGGCTGACCGCAACAATCAGCAAGCTCCTTGTACATCCACAAAATGGTGGCAGCGAGGCAGCGTCTTTGGAAACACATCTGGACTCCATGGCATGGTTTTGGGGACAAAAAGGGTTATTCCTGGGGCGGAAAGGACAGCGGAGTGAAACCGAGATAGCTATTAGTCTTAGAATTCTCCCAGGAGAAGATCGCCACTGTTTTTGGAGCAATCCGTTAATTCGCGGATACTGGGGCCCGAGGGGTTTCTGTATCCGCGGTTTAGGGAAATGCAGTTACGGCCTCCCAGGAGGGCCAGCAGCCATCTGCAGCCCGGGAGAGAAAAGATTCATTGGAAGGAAAGTTTGAGACAGGAAAAGGACACAATATAACACTATGGAGAGGGAAAAGTTTCAAATAATTTATACGTTTTATTGGGAGGATTAGTTACAATGTTAGGAAGGGGGAAAGTGAAGAAATGAGAAGGCTTCTGAGTTGTAGCTGCTGTGGCCACGTTCATGCAGTTGTAGATCTGTGGAACTCCCTGCTGCAGGTCAGATTAGCTTGAAGGCAGGGAGCTCCACGCTCAGTTCCATGGTCATGCTTTTAATGTGAGTCTCCTTCGGGAGAGATAAAGCGAAACAACTGAGAGAAACAACTGTGTTGTTGAAGGATTTTATGACTGGAATCACTGGGTTGCTGTGGGTTTTCCGGGCTGTAACCGAGTGAAACCGAGATAGCCATTAGTCTTAGAATTCTCCCAGGAGAAGATCGCCACCGTTTTTGGAGCAATCCGTTAACTCGCGGATACCGGGGCCCGAGGGGTTTCCGTATCCGCGGTTTAAGGAAATGCAGTTACGGCCTCCCTGGGATGCGAAAACTGCATCCAAGGAGGGCCGGCAGCCATCTGCAGCCCGGAAGAGAAAAGATTCATTGGAAGGAAAGTTTGAGGCAGGAAAAGGACACAATATAACACTATGGAGAGGGAAAAGTTTCAAATAATTGATACATTTTATTGGGGGGATTAGTTACAATGTTAGGAAGGGGGGGAAGTGAAGAAATGAGAAGGCTTCTGAGTTGTAGCTGCTGTGGCCACGTTCATGCAGTTGGCCCAAGCGAGGCATTGTAGATCTGTGGAACTCCCTGCTGCAGGTCAGATTAGCTTGAAGGCAGGGAGCTCCGCACTTGGTCCCATGGTCATGCTTTAAATGTGAGATAAAGCGGGATATAAACAAACATAATAAACATACACTACAACTACTACTAATACAACTGCGTTGTCGAAGGATTTTATGACTAGAATCACTGGGTTGCTGTGGGTTTTCCGGGCTGTATGACCATGTTCCAGAAGCATTCTCTCCTGATGTTTCGCCCACATCTATGGCAGGCATCCTCAGAGGTTGTGAGGTCTGTTGAAAACTAGGCAAGTGAGGTTTGTATATCTGTGGAATGGCCAGGGTGGGAGAAAGTACTCTTGTCTGCTTGAGGCAAGTGTGAATGTCGCAACTGGTCACCTTGCTGAACATTGCAAAGCCTTGCAGCTTCAAAGTCTATCTGCTTCCTGCCTGGGGGAATCTATGGTCAGGCATCCTCAGAGGTTGTGAGGTGTGTTGGAAACTAGGCAAGTGAGGTTTGTATATGTATGGAATGATGACCAGGGTGGGAGAAAGAACTCTTGTCTGTTTGAGGCAAGTGTGAATGTCGCAATTGGTCACCTTGATTAGCACTGAATAGTTTTGCAGCATCAAAACCTGGCTGTTTCCTGCCTGGGGGAATCCTTTGTTGGGAGGTGTTAGCTGGCCCTGATTGGTGGACTACTGTAACAACCACCATGTCAGACAATCACAGAGAAGTGATTGATATCCCCAAAAATGTGAACAATTTCAAAAGAAAGTAGGAAACTATGAAAATTAACAAAATCTGGATACCAGTATTAAAAGACTCTAAAATCAGGATAGTAAATATAGAGGAACACTTAGAAGACAAGGGAATTCCAGACAAGAAACAATCAGGGGCAGCTAACACCTCCCAACAAGGGATTTCCCCATGGCAGGAAGCAGCCAGGCTTTGAAGCTGCAAGTCTATTCAATGCTAATCAAGCTGGCCAATTGCAACATTCACACCTACCTCAAACAGACAAGAGTTCTTTCTCCCAACTGGGACATTATTCCACAGATATATAAACCTCACTTGCCTAGTTTCCAACAGACCTCACAACTTCTGAGGATGCGTGCCCTAGATGTTGGTGAAATGTCAGGAGAGAATGCTTCTGGAACATGGCCAGACAGCTCTTAAAACTCATAGGAAGCCAATAATAAAACTCTTTGATAGATTTGCCCTAAGACAGCCATGAAATGGAAGCACACAACATCAAAAACAATTAGTTGTTGGTTTTCACATCACATTTTGTTTTTATATATATATACAAAATGTCTTGCAATTTTAAAGCTGGATTTGGCCAAATCTTCTTTGAATTCAAGCTGTAAGCTGCCTCCGGTCTTTCATTCAGAGAAAGGAGGAGTGTTGGATAAATAATACATAAAGCGCCAGTGAGTCACCGATTGCCCCAATTTTTCGGTATTTCAAATCTGCAACGTTCCCCTGGAATTGGGGAAATGAGAGGCGGTTCTGCAAGGCATTACCTTCAAAACATCAAAAGATGACTCCAAATTGGGAGACTTGCCAATACCACAGAGGACAGGATCGGGACCTAAAATAACCTTAAGAGATTGGAGAGAAGGACCAAAACATAAGAAAATTAATTTCACTAGAGAGAAATGTACAGTAGTACTCTGGGGCAATAAAAACAAAATGCACAGGTATAAGATGGGGGGCACCTGGCTTGAAAATAGTCCATATGAAGAAAGGAACCTAGGAGTCATTGTAGACCACAAGCTAAACACGAGCCAACAGTGTGATGCAGCAGCGCAAAAGACCAATGCAATTCTAGGCTGCATCCATCAATAGGAGGGCAGTGTCTATATAGATCTTATAGACTAGGGGGTGTCATAGGACACTTCCATAAAACCCAGAATATCAAT